CTGATATAGGTCTCAAGGGGGTCTTTGTTCCACGAGCCCATGAAATTTTATCTTAATTCTTTCCGCAACTGATAAAGCTAAACAAGATTGGCCTGCCTTATTGCAGAATTCATTAGCAATAGCGTACTAGGCGTTTTGCGCAGGGCTTTATATAGGTAGGTAGGTTGGCAGGTAGCCATGTACCAAGCAATTGCACCTACCAAAGCCAGTGCCCATCTATCTAGGCCATGTGTATCAAGCAATCCCAAACTTCAACCACTCCATCTTCTCTGCGTACCCTGGATACATATCTTACCCAGGCACGCCACCACCGCTATGATAGTTGGTAGACCTCGTCCGCCCCTCAATTGTCCGAGTCACTGGTCCTGCGCTCACTGCGAATCTTTGAATCCCCGCCCTTGTTTTCACCTGCCCCTTCAATTGCACCAGACCCAGACGCCCCGTTGGCTTCAGCAATCACCGTGGCCTCCTCTTCCTCAGCCAGCATTTCCAGATCAGGATGTTTCTTCTTCCACCGCCTTATGTACCACGCACCAAACATGAGAATCGACCACATGCAGACCTCGAAGACTGTGGCTGCTGGATATCCATGTGGAAAACGCGGTGCCTGCACTGTGGGAAACGTGAACAGAGGAACCCAGATTTGGCAGCAAAACCCCAGAGTCATCATGGACGAAATGATGAGACCTCGCTCTCCGTAATTATCCTTGAGCGTCGAGTTGAGCCACGAATACTTGATCATCTGTCAGAGGTCTGAAAAAGGTAGCCAAGTAGCACCCAGAGCGCCGACTTACAAGAATAGGCGACGCCATGCCCGAAAATCCGCCAAAATAGAAGGCGACAAATTTAAGCCCATCGGGGACTGTCCAGATCGACAAAACGATGCACGCAAAGAGGACGAAAGACTGAAATGACCAGATTAGCATGTCAGAACTGCCAGCTCCTGAGATGCATCCTTACAGCTTGAAATGTCCACAACCCTCGGAGACTGAGACATCCCGCCAGTGTTGTCCCTAGCCATGACGATAGCGCTCTGAGGAGATCAATGAATGTTGGTAGGATGTTGACCAGTTCGATAGAGTAGCTTGATGAACGGAGCCAAAGGGCCATGTACCCAGTCCAATAGGTAGCCTGGCATAGGAATCTGCGACAGTCAGGATCAGGATATCCCTCGACCTTGCCCGAGTTTGCTTACATGTAGCATGGTACACAAATCCACCACATCGGCCGAGAGAGAGTATACTTGAACGTCTTCCAAGTGATCCCTTCTTTCTCAATCGTCGGCATGCGTTTGACGGCAAGGGCGTGTTCCGCCTCGGTAAAGTACCATCGTTTTGGAGAAATCGGTAGGCCTGGCCAAAAGGCGAAGCCAATGAATGAGATGGGCAGTGTAATAATTCCTTGGACAATAAAGAGCCACCGCCAGCCTGCGCGTCCATATACTCCATTCAGGTTACGATAGGCCGCTGCCTGCAAATAGCCCGAGAACATGGAACCTAGCGAGTTTCCCATGAACCACACGCCAGCACGTTTGAATAGCTCTTCATTCTTGTACCAGCTTCCAACTATTACCAGTGCGTCAGTATCGTCGAGACGGCTCGGATAATGGGTGACTAACGAATGAGATGTGTGCCGCCGAAAGAGGACGCCTCTAGGAAACCTGTGAGAGCGCGCAAGATGTAAAGATGCCAGCTGTATTTGATCTCAGACTGACAAAATGCAACGATTGACCATGTTATTTGTAAACTCGGGAGTAGGAATGCGGCACTAGTTGAAGAGTTAGTGAATCCTCGCCTCGAAATGACGTGAGCTAACGTACACTTTGGCCTTTGTTTGGAGAGTCATCAACGGGATCTGGCCAATGACATATGCCGTGTTGTCTATGAAACGTTAGCGAACTTGAGTCGACGGCCATCGAAGTGACTGTGTAGTTGTCCAGTTACCAAACGTACAAGAGACGACGAAGTAATTGAGTTGGTTGCCATAGGCATTGAGGTCTTCGCGCATGCCCGATACGTATGCATTGGTGATATTCTGTTGTCCTAAGAACTATGCCAGGTCAGCTAGGCTTCGACTTCCATCGCCACTCCTCTTACACGGCAAAAAACTAGTCAAATCCATGTCAGTCTAGGACTCTCAAGGGTTGAGGGCCGCGTGGCTTACAGCTAAGGCAGCCAAATACGAGAATGGCTAGGTCAAGTTTTCTGAGAAGCTTTCTCTCTGGAGCTGGATAGTGGGCGGCTTCAAGACATTAGTAATTCGATCGACACAGGAAAGGAAGACTTACGGTACCAGTCAAAGACTGACACAACAACCGCGCCCACCTTGTTCTTCTTGAGGACTTCAATAGCGCCCATCCTGTCTCACATTCAGCCACATCAAATGCGAGAACAGAACACAACCCATCCTGATAGGATATATAAAGTCTTCTGCATAGTGATCTTCATCAATGTCGCCCTTTTTGACAAGCCTCTATCCATGGCCAAGGGTTTGCTATGCTTGACTTGGATGATAATGAAACGCTCAAGCGGGATGCATTCTCCTCGTCATTGTTTCGGAGATTGCGTGCGATTGGGTCGACTCACAGACAGGCGACAAAAAAGACGCCTATACAACGGCTAACACGATGTAACAGCTTCATCCCACAAGATGGCTTCGGAGACTGTATTGTGTTCCCCGAGAGTGGGATGCCGAGGACATAGATTTCCTAGATTGGCAATAGAAGCCCTACCACGAGGAATTGCGCCATCCGGCTTCAAATTGAGCTGCGTCGATCATGGAATCCTTATTATTCCCGAGCCAAACATGGTGGGATTCGCAAACCATTGGCGGGGGAATATGTGGGGGAAGTGATCACGACATCAGATAAAGATGACTACACGAACTGCCATTGGTGTTGACGGTGCACCTAAGTATTACGGGTAGGTTTGGCTTAGGTTGTCTCGAAAGCAAAGCGGAGGAGTTGGAGGCTTGGACAAACTATTTATTAGCTTGAAATCATCTTGAGTCTGATATCTCGTAGTTGATGTAGATGTCAAAGCCAAAGCTCTAGCCACAAGATGCCTTCCGCTATCCCCTTGCACCAGTATACCCACGTCCCAGAGACGAAAGAGAATCTCGACTGGGCTGATCGTAAGTTGAACCGCAGACTTGACCGCCTTACTCTACCTACATATGGGGTGACTAACAGGGTTCCCCAGTCGCTACTATTGATCTCTCCAAGTATGGTACCCCAGAGGGCAACAGGGAGTTGGCAGATACTCTGATTGAGGCCGTCCGTACGAAGGGTTTCTTTTACGTCATCAACTTTGGCATTTCCCAAGAAGCCGTCGATAGGCAATTTTCTCTTGGACAGGCCTTCTATGAACTTCCTCTCGACGAGAAATTGAAATACGTCCCTGACCTCGAAAATGGAGACTACAACGGATATCGACCCGGCGGTCGACGAGTGTTGAGTGGAGGTGTGCCGGAGAAGACTGAGGTGTGGAATATGGCAAGTGAGTAAATCTTGGGAGGAATCCCATATAAAAATACTGACATCTTGTAGCCAAGGATGGTCACATCACTCAACCTGTACCGCAGCTCGTCAAAGAGAACCTCGGAGAGATTGAAGGTTTTGCAAAAGTAAGCGTTTGTCATGCACTTTGAGTATTCTTTTATCTGACATATAACAGAGCCTTCACGACAAGGTCCTCGATCCGTTGAACCATCTCATCGCCCTTGCTCTGGAGCTTCCCGAGGACTACTTCGTCAACCTGCACAAGTGGGAAACTCACGACGAGTCTCACTTGAGATACATGAAGTACTCCAAGTTCTCAAAGGAGGAGGCTGACAAACTGGAGGATGGGCTATGGTCTCATGGTCATACTGACCTAGGAACCATTACGCTATTGTTCAGACAACCAGTATCCGGGCTCCAGATCCGGGACCCGAGCGGACATTGGAAGTGGGCTAAGCCTCTCGACGGGAGCTTAACTGTCAATACTTGCGATGCTTTGAGTTTCCTCACTGGAGGATATATCAAGTCGACCATCCACCGTGTAAGCAAGCCCGGCCGTTCCGCACATGACAGAACGAATACTAACACCCCTCGCAGGTTTCGTTGCCTCCCAAGGACCAGCGTCACGTCGACCGTCTGGGACTGCTCTACTTTGCGCGTCCACAGAACGACCTTGTCCTGAAGACTGTTGACTCCCCGGTCCTCAAGCGAGAGGGTTTCGTGAAGAACGAATTTGAGGAGGGCGGCCACCCCGTGCCGAATATGGGCGAGTTCACCAAGCTGAAGCAGACTTGGCAGCAGCAGAAGGTCAAGAGCCATCGTGCCACAGACGGGCAGGAGATTCTTCCTGGCTTCAAGGGCCAGTATCACAACTGATAGGTCACTTGTGTTGTAGTATGTCTTGATATTTGGAGTAAAAGAATGAAAGGAACTATCTTTTTGAGCTGTTTCATTCCGGACGGTCTAGCAGTTCAATGATCAGTACACTTCTCGTGAGATGATTGCAAGGATTCGCAAATAAGTCAGGTTTGATCGAGTGACATCTCTCGAGCATACGGAGAGGTGACAATAGGGCTCAAACATGAAGAGTACGGTATCTCACCAGGTAGCCGTAGCAGTTTTCCCAGAAACATCGCCCCTACGTCAAAAGTTTCCCTGGCATCCTGCTCCCCATCTACCTTGGGTACTTAAGGAACTGGCCAATGCTGAGCAGGTACGTGATGGAAGCCCAAGCTAGTTCCAGCGAAACTCTGTGTGATCTCCTCCCCGAGAGACGCAGTGTAGATATAATTCTATCCAATGTCTATCTACCTAGGTATGTAGGTAAGCCCAAACCCATTGACGGACACTAAATTGTCTTTCATTGAGGACATACAGCCATCTTATTGCTTCCTTCAAGACAATGCCTCCATCGGGTCTGAGACGTGAGTTCCCAGAGATAGCTACAGAGTGAATGTATGTATATGCCAACAGCTGATCAACTTTCAACAATCCTACAACAGGTCCAATGGTCTAGTGGTATGACGCAACCTTCACAGCAGTCAAATGCTCAAGTTCGGTTTAGGTCCCGGGTTCGAACCCCGGTTGGACCTTCTCTTTTGCCTTTCAAAGCAATTTTCTTTTTATTTGTTCTCTCTTCATTTTCTTCTCCCTCCCATATCTACTACTTTCTTTCATTTTCTTTTTCCAATTGTGTTCAGGTAACGCATCCTCTCAATGGCACCCACCCAGAACCCAGACAACGTCAATCAAGGTCTCCTCGGCTAGGGACATGTAAGTGACGGCTAGCAGACTCATCAGTTCTCAATATGTAGCGCGAATGTTTGAAGACATAAGGAAATATTCAATTCATACTACATTCTAGGCGTACAGATGGTATCATTCAGACAAAGAAAATAAAGAAAAGGCATTATGCTAACGATTGTCAAATCACTTGGTTCCGTTCACCTTCTTCTTGCCCTCCTGGCTCACAGCGTCCACTCCCGCGTTGAGCTTGCCAAACTGCCACTCAGGCAGCGTGATTCCCGTCTGCTCGTTGATGGTCGTCATGAGAGGAGGCAGCATCTGGTAGACGTTGCGCATGGTGTCGGTAGCCTCGTTGCCCTGACCCTGGCTGCCCGTGTTCCAGACGCTGATCTTGGGCTCGAGACCCTTGATGGCCGTGGCGTTGGCCTTGGCCAGCTCCACGTAGGTGCCCTTCTCAATCATCATGTACTGCAGCAGACCGGCAGGACCGCCAAAGGCGTGCGACAGCTTGCCGTAGGCGTCGGCCATGGCGGCAATACCCTCGGCCTCCTTGAGCTTGGCGTTGAGCTCGGCCTCGGCGCGCTGCTGGGCAGCATAGGCCCAAGCCTCGGCGTCGTTGCGAGTCTTGTAGGCGAGGGCATCTGTGTTCTTGGTCGTCTGGTTGTAATTGGCTTCGGCCTTGGCCACTGCGTCAATCTTGCATTGATAAGCAGCCGCGTCCGCTCGGCGCTGGCTTGCTTCCTGGTTTGCACGAGCCTCTGCCTCAACCTCGTAGGCGGCAGCGTCAGCGGCTTGTTGCTTGCTCTCACGCGCAATCGTAGCCTTGGTCACATCGGTTGCACGAAGACGTTCCAGCTCGGCGCCGGCGCGCTTCAGCTCGACCTCCTTCTTGAGATCCTCGTCCCTGGACTCGAGAGCACGTTGGGCGGTGACGCGAGCAATATCGACATCGCGGTTCAACTCGGTACGCCTGGTGTCGAGGTGAGCCTCAGCCTGGGCGCGCTCGATGTCTCTGTCCGTCTTCTGGACAGCAGTCTGGGCGTTGATCTTGGCAATCTCTCGCTCCTGCTCACCCTTTCGCTGGGCTTCTCCGACGTTTCCACGGAGCTGAGCCTCGGCGACATCGATACGGGCCTGGTTGGTCGCAGACTCGTGAGCCTTGCGCGAGAGCGACTCGAAATACTTTGAGGATGGCGCATCCTTGAGCTCCTTCACGTTACAGTTGAAGATGCGAAGGCCAAACTTGGAGAGCTCGCCCTGGATGTTGCGGAAGACACGCTTCTTGAAGACCTCTCGCTCGCTAAAGATCTCCTCCATGGTCATGCTGGAGACCAGGACACGAGTTTCGCCCTCGATGATGCCCTTGACAATGTTCTCAAGGTGCAGGCGCTGGTCTGAACGCTTGGAGGAGCCCTCTGAGTCGGCCAAGAGCATGGCGTACTTCATCAGGGCATCGCCACGGTCCTCGAGGTGGACAGCTTCCTCATCGTCAACGACGCCATCACGAGTGTTGGCGCCGCGCTGGTTGACGTCGGGACCGACTGTGAAGATGACGGGAATGTTCAACTGAAGCTTCTCCCGGGTCATGGCTTGCAAGTCCATGGCATAGTCGTGGGGTTGAACGCTATGGGGGGTGTTAGTCCAAGTCACAACGGAGCGCGTGGAGGAGTACTCACGAGAATCTGGTACAGCGCTGGAAAGGCCATACCCATGCTGCCTTTGTGATTTTGACATTCTCGATGCTCATGCCAGTGATGGCGAGGTACTCATCAGGGCTGGAGACCTTGTACGACATGGTTGCGGTTGGTGTGTATTAGTGTGAATGTATTGGGTGTCAATGATTGAATGTGTCGATTCGAACGAAAGACGACAAATTGTATATGGATGACTTAGACACGAACCATAAGGCCCGAGGAATCATGCACTTATATATTCAAATGCCTCTCAACATCCTTGTCTTATTGTTGCATGTCAGGCACACGCGAGTCTTCCCCTCGCCCAAATGAGTTTGCCTTGGCGGGCGGGGGCAGTGTCAGGCTGAGCCCCAAAGGCTCCTCAAGGCTTCTCAACCACCAAATGAACTGTCTAGTCTTGCCGACCGTCTGTGCCTCAGCATATAAGATTGATCTCGTGATTGATCCGATGGGACTTCAGGCAGCCGAATTTATTATGGTTTGCCACCAATATGGCAGAAAACAGCATTGAGCCGTGGTGGAAGTTGCCCCCTTGAGATCGACGCGACCATTATGGCGATGCCATTCCTTTGGGCGTGTTGCTTGTTGGCTGGGGCCAAGACGATGCCGACAGCCGCCGTCGTTCGGTCGACGAAAGTCGTTGGTCTCTTGGGTAGGCGAACTGCGTTGTTACCCAACCATGGCTCGCATTGGTCACCACGATGGGACAGAAATCATGCTGGGATCTACCTACGTAGGATCTAGGTATGTGGTTATTCCCGTGTGGTCCGAGTTTGTCTTTGACTAAGGTAGGTACCTTCGCAGGAGCGACCCGTGTTCCCACAGTGCTCTTCGCACTCCATATCACTTAGACGGCAGTTAAGAATCACTTTTAGGTGCAAACATCGCCTTTGGCCGCCCTCCGCATGATATTGATCGCAAACGCACTATATAAAAACGGGGGCGTCCCGCAAACGCACCTAGGTAAGTATACATAATTCAGATAAGACTGTGCATTGCTCAGATAAGGCTGTACATAATTTACTACTCACATTCGAGGTCCAGGGCAAGTTTCAGTTGTGTAACATGTTGGTTGACCTGCACTTCTCGTTGAAAATATTATCTATTGGTTGATCTAAGCTATTCATTAGTGACTGTTGTGACTGTGCGAGGAACAGTACGAACAGCCCTTGTAAACATACATCTATATATCTCATTCATAAGAGGTATCGAGCTCTAGCAAGAAGGCGCAGTAAGCGCGAGCCTTCAGAAGCTGGCACCGAGCTTGTCGGAGAGGGCCTTCTCGGTCTTAACAAAGACAGCATCGGGGGGAGGGGTGGCGTCGAGCTTGACGACCTTGCCCTCCTTGTCAAAGTACTCAACGACGGGCATGCTGGTCTCGATGAAAGTTCGGAAGCGCTTGCGGATGCTCTCGGCGTTGTCGTCGGAGCGGCCAGATGTCTTGCCACGTTCAAGGAGACGCTGTTCCATGACGTCCTCGGGGCAGTCGAAGAAGAGGACCATCTTGGCGGGGCAGACGGACTCCTCAAACTTGACAGCCTGGTCCATCTTGCGAGGGAAACCGTCGATGAGGAAGCGTCCCTTCTTGGAGCCAGTCTTCTCGAGGGTCTCGGTCATGGCGTTCTCAAGCAGCTTGATGGTGACCTCCATGGGAACAATCAAGCCATTCTTGATGTAATCCTTGATAAGTTCGCCGAACTCGGAGCCGGGGCGCTGCTGCTCAGCGCGCAAGAGGTCACCGGCCGAGAGGTGGGTGAAGCCGTGCTGCTCGACTAGCTTCGAGCACTGAGTGCCCTTGCCGGCGCCAGGGCCGCCGAGAACGAAGACGACGGTCACATCGGCGGAGTCGAAGACGGGAGTAGACTTGGCGGGCTCAGGAAGTTGGCCAGCAGAGGCCGGGGCATCAATTTGGTGAGGCATGTCTGTAGACAGCGGGATTTTGTTAGTGATGCAGCTTTGGACGACATGTGAAATCAGGGGGGTTATGGGAGGTATAAATGGAAGGGGACACGTCAAAGAAGTATCGTCGCAGGCCCTTGGAAGGGTGGTCCTGCCGAGGCGCTTGGATCGCTGCATCGACTGATATCTCGGGTAGGGCCATGGGAGAGCAGGGCATATCTCTGACGAGGTGGAGGGGAAAAGCGGGCGAGAAGCAAAGCGTACCTTTGCGGCGGTTGACGAGGCCCATGTAGCCCAGGGTTCCCAGACCGATGACTGCAATGAAAGGCCAGAACTTGACTTTGTCGTTGGGGCGAGGGGGCTGGGAGGAGTAGGCACGACGTTGTTGGCGGAACGATCGCGAGAAGGTCGATGATGAAGAGGAAGATCGAGTCGAGGTGCGAGCTGCAGCGGCGAATCGCGCCGATAGGGAGGTCATGCGGGCGGCCATTGTGACGTCGAGGTATGAGCAAAAAAACTGACAAAGCTAGCAACCACACGAGAGAGGCAGATGATGGGCGTAAAAAAGGCAATTGGGGTGAAGAGACGGAGCTGAAGAAGGCCGAAAAAAATGAGTGACGGGAAGTGAAGTTGAATGAAGATGGGAATTTTCGGAGTCGGTCCAGGAGGAGGTAATTGTTGACCTTATTCGAAGCTTGGGGCCAAAAGTTTTGATTCCCCTCGACGGGTCACTTATCAGGGGTCACACAGTCCCTACTCTCTCCTTGTCTAGCTGCACAGTCTTATTGGTCCATTCAGGTGATAGGCTGCTATAGCTTCAGGGTATGTATGCTAGATTTTCGCAACCTAAGACAGCTCTCCTTGCACCCCTTACTTTAGTGGACGACGCACTGGACGACCTGGCTGACTAAGAAATAGATAACACTGTGAGAGACAGTGTGGAGACGAGACTGATAAGTGACCGAAGTGATCGAAACTTTTGGCCCCAACCGTCCATTGATTGGCAAAACGTGATGCGGTTAGAGTGTGGAGGATCGCAGGGATGGCCTCGCCCGCTTACATACAGTTGGAATGCAGGAGGTTTCCGTCTTGGGCATGTTCAATCATGAACCGCCACGTGCCTGGACTATCTCACTATATTGATCAATTCGCCCTGCAAAATGCCTGGAGCTGCACCGAAACAAACTCCAATGCGCAATGTGGAAATTGCCGGTGACTCCCAACCTCAGCTCGGGCTGTGGGGGGCCGCTAGA